AACCATTAAAAAGTGAAGTATTATTAATCACTTCATTTGCTGCTGAAATGGAGATCCTCATGACTAATGAGAAAATGGAGGAGAAAGAACATCATATATATCTGAAAATTCAGAAATTTCTGAAAAATTGGCATTTTGTTCGGATAGTAAATGAATGGCTCTGTGGTATTATTTAAATCTAGATCTAGAATACAATGGTGAGAAACAAAGGCAAAATTCACAACTCCCTACATCCCTGTCTTCCCAGGCTCAACATCACGCTTGCCTCCCAACTGCTCTGTATTCCCACCCCTCTGAGTGGTGCAGGGGGACCGGGAATGGGAATTTTGGTCACTTCATCACCCTTCATATCTGCCACTCCTCCCTCCTCATGATGTTCCCCTGCTCCAGCATGGGTCCTTCCCATGGGTTGCAGTCCTTCAGGAACCGACTGCTCCTAAGTGGACTCCTCTCCATGGACCACAGCATGGATATCTGCTCCACCATGGTCCTGCATGGGCTGCAGGGGAGCTGCTTGTGTCACCATGGGTCTCACCACAGGCAGCGGGTGGGGAATCTCTGCTCTGGCCAGCAGTGGGTCCATTTTGGAGTCATGAAATTATTTAAATTTTTTAAATAGCAGTCTTGACCATATGGGTAAGAGCATTACAGGGAAGTAGTGGGAACATCCTAGCATAACAAAAAAAGGCTTTTTCTCTGCCTAGCAATATATCTATTGCCCTTAAAAATATCTTTATTGGATAACTCTTTTTTTTTTTTCTTCATAGTGTGGATGAATCATTCCACATCCATATGTGAGCAGTGAGAGGTCTCGGTTGTACATGTCCAAGAGTGTCACTGCTTCAGACAGAAATATTCTCTTTATGAGACCTTCAGCTTGGATCCCTACCTACTTTTGCCCTGCTCAAAGACAGACGCATGCTAATGACCCACATAGGACTGAAGCTCTTGAGAGGCATTATATACAGCCTGCACTTTCCTTCTGGCTGCTGCTCTTAAAATGTCAGCAGCACCACGGTGACTGGTTTATAGCAACCGTGCAGTGTGTCTGCAGTTTTCTTTCTTACATCGAGGACTGCATTGCAATGCAGTTGAGCCGAGCTTCTGTAAATACAGTGTAAACATCAGCCTTATTCTGGGTTCTGAAATCTTCCTGTGCGACTCCTTCTACAAAAAATGTCACGATCATTCGCTCTGTGCAACTATTTTTTTTAATCTGTAATTAACCTGGTTTCTCAATTGAGAGTTATTCATGACACAACAGCGTTGTCATATAATAGGTGCATGCCTGAGGGTAAGAATGTAAAAGCATGCAACTCCTTACACAGGAAAATTCAATCTGGAACCTTGGACAGACTAGGGAACTACTGTTTTCCAAGAAATTACAGGAAATTATAGTTCTATTACAGTCTGCAGGTTTTGTCAAGGCATTTTCTAAGTGTTGCTTATGTTTATCTGGGTAATTTCTCACAGACTTCCCAATTTACTGTGTCTTTTATGCCTATTGAAGTAGATCAGGGCAGTGCTTTTTGTGAGTGAGACAGCAAGACGTTTCAGCAACTTGATACTTCTTATTTGTCCAGTCATAGCTATTCACGATAAATGAAGACCAGAAGCTAGCTGTACTGGTTTAAAAAGCCAAACCCAAACTTTGTTACTTGCTCCTATTGCCTAAAATCGCTTCCTCGTCCCCTTTCCAACAGTTTCTGTCTCCATCTTTAGTTTGGCCACAAGATGGCAATAACTTGCAGACAAAATGAAACAGGCAGACCGATTTGAAACTGTCTCCCTTCCTGAGCTTTTCCCTAAGCTCTGCCCCCAGCTCCCCTCTTTTGTTTCAATATTTAATTGCATTTCTTTCGGAATTACTAGGCAACCCACCCCCAGATGTGCAGTTTAAAGGTGATGTGCTCGCATTGTGATTTTCAGGAGCTACTCCGTAGAGCACCATCATGTGATACTGGGGTAAGGTGGAGTTCAGCTTTAAGTGGGGGGAGTCTCCTGCCTTCCTCACCAATCTTTAGGATCTGACTGGAGAAATATCAAAGGATCCTTCTCCTTTTCCTACTCCTTCTCCGTCCAGCTTCTGGGCCAGCCCCTGAGCAGACCAAAGACGGGCAGAGCAGTTGCAAGGTGAGTTTCCCCCACGGTTGCTTTTCCATGACTCTGGGTGGTTGTGTGCCAGTTAGGCTGGTGTTTGTTTGCTTGCTGTCTTAGGTGTAGGTGACAAAATCTAAGAGAGGGTTAGGCTCCAGGTAGAACTTCTGAGAAGCTGGGTGAACCATCACCTTGGGTTGACAGCATTATCTTCTTGTTTTGAAACAGCTGAGATAGTTTTACTGTGCATTGCCATTTGCCTCACAGCACATTATTTCACCCTTTTTGTCATTTGATGTTAAACTTTTGAACAAAATCTCTCTTGGAGAGAGGGGAGACTGTGCAATCACCCAGAGGGGTCTGCAGAGCTTTCCCCATGCCAAGCCATCACTCCGAGTGGGGAGGGATCTGCTTCCTGACTTGGGAGCAGGGGGTTTAGGAGACAAGAAAGAGTGCAGCTCTCTGGGAGCTTGAACTTCATGCCTCTCTGTTTTCTGGTCCATTTTGCAGAAGGACAGGAAAGAAGGAGTCCTCGTCACTTGACAGCAGTGCTGTGTTTCTGGGCTGGTTCCTAGATATGCTCTTACACACATCAGAGAGGTTGCATCTCTGCTCTGGGAAAGATGAGGGAAGAAGGAGCAGTAGCATTTTCTGGTTTCGAGTTTGATATTTAATAAATAAGCAAGAGCAGCGCTTGGCTAAGGGAGTAGAAATAAAAAGAGCATGAAACCCTGGACATCTTATTGCTGGGGGCAGTTTGGTCCCAGCTGGTGAAATAACCTGCCCAGTTTCCTCCTTGCAGGACATGGCTCCTTGCCTGCTCTTGCCATCATTCCATCAAGTCACAGGGCTGGAGTTCCCACCTCGTGCTATACAAGTGGTGGTAGAGTTCATGATTAAATCCAGATGTTGATTTTCAGACTATGATAAAGTTACACCGTGGGAATTGAAGAGCCCTGGCTCTCCACATCAGCTACACACTTTGGATAAAGCACCTACCTCTGTCTGTGACAGAAGTGATGCTTCAAGGGATCTTGGGGATGGAAGTTTCCTTATTAGACCCTAAAACAGATTTGGTGGACTGGGAGATCTGATAAATTTAGTTGGCAGAGGCAGAAGGTCTGAGAGATAATACCCAGGTGCATACCTAGATAGCTTGAAAGTCAGAGTAGTCAAACCTCAGACAGAGAAGCCTTTTGTCTGAAATCATTGCTGTTAACCCTCACAGTAACATGTCACTCAGAGGCAAGCTACATTGCCTGTCGCAGTTTCATGTAGCCTTGTGGTGATAAGAAAGAGAGGCAGAGGCAGCTGGGGTTAGCTCCTGACAGCAGGGAGAAGGCATGGCATTGGCATGTGAAGGCCATTGGCTGACCCTCAGGAGGAGCTGGAGCTGCAAGCCCAGCCCTCACACGCTGGCTCTGCCCTAGGGAGGAGGCAGCCCCAGCTCTGGTGCCAAGCATGTGGCTGGTTAAAAGGGTGTCTGTCACCAGTGAGAGACAAAGACAGTTCTTCTCCAGAGACTTACATGGTACAGAGATCTATATCGAGTATCATTTAAGAACAAAAGCTCACCTATTCAGGGTAACTTCTAATGAAGTAGGTTTTAGTGGGCAATGTTTTTACAGCTTTTGTGATAAATGCCATATGAAGTTGAATTTGAAACCCACTTGTGTGAATTTCAAGTGTCATTACTTTCATTACCATAACCTAAGGTTAAATGAGCAATAAATTTAGCTCATGGGAGTGGGCAGAGAGAAAGTTCCAGATTCAGCGTGGAATGCAGTGCCACAAATGACGCCCAGATTCAGTGTCACTAATGATAAGTTGAAATAAAGGTGTGTCAGGTTATCAATTAATTGTTTTTTAATTGTTTATCAATTTATTTTATTTTATTTTTAAATTTGCCTTCTGAACACATATGCTTGCATTTCAGATTTTTAAAATCTAAGGTCTTGCAAAGAGGTGGTTATTTAAGCATGCCTATTTCCCTTTCACGGCTAAAGAAATTTTCTGCGGTGCTTAAAATTTGCCGATTTTTGTCTTTTGCCCTGTAGTCTTCTTTTTTTTGCTGCACAGCCCTGCTAGTTAAGATAAAGGTGTTCAGGTTCCTGATTTACCTTTGACTCAGTGCCAGTGCCGCTGTGGGCACTTGGCGGCTCAACATCAAGTGTATGCGTTATAGGAAAAAAAAAAAGAAAAGCATCAATTGAGTCATTTTTCCACCCGTCACATTAGTCAGATGGGCTTTCCCCCCACCCCCCCATGTGATGCCTGGATGTAATTTCACTTAGAGCAGTTTGAGAAAGCAGACGTTTGCAGATTAAACTTGTGAAAAGGAGATGTAAAACATCAAGTGGAAGCAACGATGGTGGAAGGCTGAAATTGCTTCCCGGCTCGCTATTTCGCGCGACTTGTGCCAGCGGGAACGGGCCGGGCAGGGCTGGTATGCCCGTTTGCCATCCATCCATCCGTCCGTCCGTCCGTCCTGCGTCTCGGTGCTGCCTGCGGCGGAGCCCGGCGGCGGCCGAGCGGGACGGGCAGAGCGGAACCGGCAGAGTGGGACTGGCAGAGCGGGACTGGCAGAGCGGGACGGGCAGAGCGGGACGGGAAGAGCGGGACCGGCAAAGCGAGACGGGAAGAGCGGGACGGGCAGAGCGGGACGGGCAGAGCGGGACCGGCGGGCAGGGGTTGCTCCGCTGCCGCGGGACGCGGGGCCGGCTCCGTGCCCGGCGGTGACCGGCCCTGCTGGCTGCTGCCCTTCTCCCCAGGTGCGGCGAGGGACATGCGGCACTGAGGAGCGGGCTCGGCCCGGGCTCCCTGCGGGGCTGACGGGCGCGCTCTGAACTCGGAGCGGTCTGGATGAACGCGGCGGCGGCGAAGGTCGGCGGCGAGCTGGAAGCAACATGAATACCTCGGTTCTCACCCCACTGGGAAATATTTCCGGTCATCTGAATTTTTCGGAGATGAACTCGCAGATCTTGCAGTTTGAGGATGAAGATTGCCATGTGCCTTTGGCCATGGTCTTCACTTTGGCCTTGGCTTATGGGACTGTGATAATTCTGGGAGTCTCTGGGAATCTGGCCTTGATCGTCATTATTTTAAAACAAAAGGAGATGCGCAACGTCACCAACATCCTCATTGTCAACCTGTCGTTTTCTGATCTCCTAGTGACCATCATGTGTCTTCCCTTTACCTTTGTGTACACTTTAATGGACCACTGGATTTTTGGGGAGGCCATGTGCAAGCTGAACCCTTTTGTGCAATGTGCTTCCATCACCGTCTCCGTCTTTTCTTTAGTCCTCATTGCTATTGAGCGCCATCAGCTGATCATAAATCCCCGCGGCTGGAGGCCGAACAACAGACATGCCTACATGGGGATTGCTGCCATATGGATTTTAGCCACAGCTTCCTCTTTGCCTTTCCTGATCTACCACGTATTAACAGATGAGCCCTTCAGAAATGTAACATTTGATGAATATAAGAACAAATATGTGTGCTTGGACCTGTTCCCCTTGGACACTGCCAGGCTTTCTTATACCACAACGCTTTTGGTGATTCAGTACTTTGGACCACTTTGTTTTATATTTATTTGCTACCTGAAGGTAAGATAGAATCCTCTTGCAATATGTACTTCATTCTATCTGATGTTTGTTTATCCTTGCAAAGATGACAGTGGTAGGTTAATTTATCCCATGTGTTTCTCTTTGTTGAATTTCCTGCAGATATACATACGGTTGAAAAAAAGGAACAACATGATGGACAAGATGAGAGACAGTAAGTACAGATCCTCTGAAACCAAAAGGATCAACATCATGCTGATTTCAATAGTGGTCGCATTTGCAGTTTGCTGGCTGCCTCTCACTATCTTCAATATCGTGTTTGATTGGAATCATGAAATTCTGCCTGTTGCTACCTGCAGCCACAACCTGTTGTTCCTGATTTGCCACCTCACTGCCATGATCTCCACCTGTGTGAATCCCATCTTCTACGGGTTTCTCAATAAGAACTTCCAAAGAGACCTGCAGTTTTTTTTTCATTTTTGTCATTTCCACTCCCGTGAGGAGGATTATGAGACTATAGCCATGTCTACCATGCACACAGATGTTTCAAAAACCTCTTTAAAGCAGGCAAGCCCCATCACATTTAAAAAAATAAATAGTGATGATGAAAAAATATAAAGAAGTAATAAAAATTCTACACCAAACTGCAAGAAGTGTGATTGCAGGTGAAGTGTGTCCAAGGACAAGCACAATTGCATAACAAGTACAAAAAGGGTAATGTTTTTCTTCCTTTTCCAAGGAACTTTGATTGTTGTCGCTTTGAAATTACGTGCTGTGCATTTTTGCCCCGTTTACTGCTTTAATACAGAAGTTATATCTGAATTTTATTGTAAGATATAGTCAGACCTGCTACTACCTATGGTTTTCATCAGCTGTTTTTGTTCTGTTTTCTTTGTACAGTTCTGTGCTTCAGTACAAAGGTTTACTTACTGATTTTTTTTCAAAGAAGTAGTTTTCAGGAGTGTCCATTTAAGACCATTAGAAACAAAATGAACCACAGAGACACTGTCATTACAGAGGATATCCACCAAAGAATAAAATTAGGAAATTCTGATTTGAAGAGGACTATTTTCTTTTTAAATTACTCTTTTGATCAATGTTAGAATCCTGTAAAATCAGTATAGGTATGCAAAAAAAGAATGATGTAAAACCTGTAGAATATGTTTAAATGGGGACATATAGTTGTCTCATTCAAAGAGGCAATTTGGGCTGTAATCACTTAGTTTCAAAGACAGGATTAAGAAATTCTGTTCTCATTTACAATAATAAAGCCCTACAGTAATTCCACAGAGAACAATGGGATAACCAATGCTTCAGCACAGCAAATGAAAACATAAATGGGGCTTCAGTCCCAAATGATTACAGCTGGTTTTAATAACACAGGCTTTTTAATTTAAAAAATCCAAACCTCATTTTCATCTGGCATCACTGACAGGAGTTACTGTTACTGGGATGAAATGCATAATCTGTTCTGAGCTTGTAAATTCTGAACCATGTAAATTCTCCTTGAGACCTATGTCCAGAATCTAGAGGGAGATGGGACTGTTTGCTGTCTGGACAAGGTGCAATTCCATCCTCACAGGTGACAGAGAAATTCAAGTCTGGTATTAAAAAACTAAGATTGAGCTACCTGAGTCTTTTCATAGTAATTAGTGTTGACCTATATAAATTATGTATAGCCTCATAATACTTTATGTTCAGGTGCAATGGCATAAACCTGGATAATCTCCAAGATAAAGGATAGTTTAATGAAGACCTGCAAAATTTAAAAGAAGGATATTATATAGTTTGGGTATAATTGGTATGTTTAACTTCCAAACTCACAGTTCCCACAGTTGTTTGAAATGTGGAAACATTTGCCAAATATACGCAATAGACCTCTGTTACTGCTTAAAATATATATCCTCTAATTACACAAAATATTCATGGTTAGATCCCAGTTGAGGGAAAGCATATAACTTGACTACTGTAAATGAAATTACAACAACACCAGCCAGCTGAGGTTCTGTGTCATGCAGTGTACTTCGCTATATCATAATGTCTTTTTGAATAATCAGCTTTTTAAAATACAATATAAGACCCTACTTTCTTTCAGCAAGGTCACTTTAAATCATTCTGGCAGACATGAGTTCCTTTAAAATGGATATAAATGTAAATGCAACATAAATGGAAATCTGATGTGATATATTTCTGAGCAAAAATATCTCAGGATATGAGATGCTATGGTGAATTTAATATGTTCTAAATTTGACATAGATAAATGCCTAAGAAATTAAAATTATTTGGGTTGCGAGTATTTAAAAGTGAAACACCGTGCCTTGTGCTGTCTAATAAATAGTGTAGAATATTAAAGTAGCAATGTGTTCTTGTGCATTATAATTCCATGTATTTCTCTACTGTAATATAATTTAATTTAAAAGGAGTTTTCTGTGCTTGAGAACAGAGACAGAATGTAGAAAATTAATTATAAGACAGAAGGTTCTTTCAGAGCTTTGGCCTTTTGTATTTTATGAGATTTCCTTTTTCTTTGTGCTTCTTCATGGAATGCGTTGTTAATAACTTGACAAGGGTTTCCCAAAATTATTTCTCTCTCACTTTGCAACAATTTTCATATTTCAAAGGATGTGTATTTTCACAATGAGATACAATGTGCAAAAACAGCCATGGGTTTTTTTTATTAAGACTATCACTGTGGGTTTTTCCCTTACAAAAGTCACTGTGAATTTTATGGCTTTTTTCATCTTTTTTTTTTTTTCCTTTTAAAAAAGCACTTTCTTTCAATGTAATGCAAAAAGAAAATTCAGTCATTTGAGAAACTTTCCAGTTAGTTTGCTGGAAATTTTTGACCAAGCTGAATTAGGTGCTTATACAGAGGAGGTGTAGAGGAACTTTAGAGGAGCCTGCTGGTGCTCAGGAACCTGAACCAAGTGTATCCTAAGATTTGGAGGTCTCCAGTGGGACAGCAATGTAATTCTTATGTCAGGATTTCTCCTGCTTGAGGTACAGTCTCAAATCACGCAGCCCATCTGACTCTGTGTCATACTGTCTCCTGCGAATGCATGTCAGGTGTTTTTTGCCCACCAGCACCTGATAAACAGGGCAAACTGTAAATGGGAGCATTCTTCCTCTTCAGCCTTGTTAGGCTCAGGCGCTGCTTTTCCTCTGCACTGCTGTTCTAGGATCAAGCTTCTTATGTCTCCTCACTCCCCTGGGGAAGAAGCCTTTCTGAGCCTCTGCTAAGGATGCAGGTTAGTGCTTTGTCACACAAATAGCACAGGGCACGCTGCCTGTAATAGCAGTGGAAATGAACACAGTGTGAAGACTTCTGCAGGAAAATGCATTTGGAGAATTTCAGAGGCAAAAGCATGGCTCTTCTGAAGAATTTGTTATGAGGACAGAGATAAAGGTAGTCTCTCTGAGGTGCTGACCCAACACCTGCAGGGCGTAGCTCAGATCTACGGAGAGCAGTATTTTTGTCTGTGGTTTCATGACTTGACGCTGGAGTTCTCCAAAGCTTTCTCCTCCCAACAGCCAGCTACAGTACTGATCCTCTTTTTCATTTTCAGAGCTCCAGCATGGCTTCTCCTCTATATGCTAAATTTCTTTACAGGATAAGCTGACAGGTTTCGTGTTTCACTATAATTTTTCAATCATTCTGGATTGATATTTATTTCTTATGTGCTGTTTTGTCAAATGTCCCACACTTCAGCACATGTTGATTCCTGTCTCAAAAGCCTGAAGATCCCTTTTTTCTTCCAGACTTTTAGAAAAGTTTTGCTGACAGAAAAACAGAACACAGAGTGATCTATAATGTATCTTATTATTTGGGTGTCATACATTTAATGTCAAATCTCCAGCCTTAAATGACAAATATAACTATTTAATAAGCATCAGTATTTGCTTCATTTGTCAGTTATTTTAGCATCTTAAACATCACTTTGATCGACCACAAACATTTACCATTTCTGCATAATCTAAATAAACCAGCATATTTGTATATCATATTAATAAATATGTCTGTATTCCCATTTTGCTTTTTTTTCTTCAAAAAATGGTTGTGTCATTGTTTCTATGTACAGTAATTCACGACTTTCACATCAATATTAAAAAATAAGAATAAGAAATAATAAGAAAGGAAGTGATTAATTGACAATAGACCCTGACAAATTCTGTAGGCTAGGAGAGAACTGGAAATTTAAAAATATATATCTCTAGGTATATAATCTACCGTCTTTATGACCACATAAAAAGAAAAGATTTAAACCAGGAAAAGAAATCAACATGACAGAACCCTCAAGGGACTTGAGCTGATGCTGACTGCATCTCATAACTGATGAAGGTGTGAAGGGCTAAGAGCTCATATATTCTGACTCAGTGGTCTTGCACTACAGTACCAGCTATTATTAATGGATCCTAAAGGGAAAATTTGATGCTGATTCATATTCAGACTGTAAATCAGTAAATGTTTCAATCCAGGTCTGTATATTAAATTCTCTTTTTGACCTCAGAGAAATGTTCTCAGATAAATGAAACTAAGAATTTTCTTAAAGTTAATCATTTTCCTAGGCATTCTACTGAATAAAACTACATTACTGGATGGCAGCTCACACTCTTTCCTAAAAATCAGATTTTGGATATTAGCTTTTTACAGAAATAAGTTAATGCCATATAGTTGTGTGGCTTTTTTTTTTTTTTTTTTTTTTTTGGATTCTTCTCTGGATTTTTTTCTGGGCTTCATAATGCTTCAGTTTAAAGCTCTCCTTCCTTCTTTGTATCAAAGACGTTACCAAAGCAGTGCATAGAGAATGAAGAAAATAAGCAGATTTTCTACTCTTCTTGTTTTTAAAGCATACAAAACAGTAGGAAACATGAGCTTAAATAACATCTCTGTCTGCAACAGATTAAATTCATTCAGTTGAGTGGAAAGGGGAGAGGAGTAATAATTATAATCAAATGATAAATTTTGTTTACAGTAATTTCTCAGTTGAAGGATACATGCAGCTCCAAGATCTACCATGCCCTCTTCATTCTTGTGTTCTTTAATATGTGGTATCTGCTTCCCTGAGTTATTACTAATTAGCCAAGTTATTACTAAATTTGACGTGAAAGAAAATTCTTCTATAAGGGTCTTGCAGAATTTCAAATTCTTTAGTATAGCATATAAGATGAAAAAATGTGATCAGCTTTGGCTCTTACACTTTAATTAACCTGTGGTCAGAAATTACTTCTATTCAGTATTTCTGCCCATGCATAACAGTGTTAATGGTCTGATAGAAGTTGATATTTCAAATATTCAGGAGTGCATTCACAAGACTAACTCCAGCTTTCTTTCCCAGTCTCCTCTGGCAGCAAGCCAAGGGCACTCACACCTGCACTACTCTGGTGCTATGCATTACCGAAATTTCTTTCCTTCAGTTGTCTGTATAGCTGCTAAGTGGTAGGACTGCCATCTTCCAGGGCAGCACTAGGCCTGGTGACTGCTGCCTCCCTTCCTTCATCTTCATGGTGTTTCTGCTCTCACTTTGTGTTTCAACCCCTTGCTAGCTGCTTTCTGAGGAAGCTGGGGAAATTTGTACTCTGATTTTATAAAGTGCCTGAGTATATGATAAAATTCAGCTCTATTCAGGACAGTCCTTTAAATAGTTTCTTTCATTAAAATTATCTTCCATCAAGTGTCTTATAGGCAAGTTTCTCAAAATTTAGAAGTACATAATTTACAGAGCCTGTGTAGGAAATATGTCCATATACAACATCCAGCTCATTGCAGCAAAACTGACAGCACAAACTGTCTTGTGTTTTCCAAATAGCTGAATTGATTTGGTTATTTATCATAGGTCAGGCTTAGTTGCAAGAAATTTGCCCCTGGTGAAAACAGGTTTGAAAGTGCTGTACATGAGATGTTCTGCATGATTAACTAACTTGCTACAAATTAGAAACGTTTCAGATATACAGGGAAATAGAATTTGGAAAAGAGACGAAAAGCAGAAGTTCTAGATGAAGTCTTGATGTCTTCTGTCAGACACAA